AGTTTAGGTATGTAAAAACTACCATTTGCTTTTTTGTACTGGAACGAGGCTTCATCTAATCCTCAGACACAACTATTTTAACGCACCAAAATTAATTTTCACCATTTCAGTAAATTGTAAAGGTCTCCAAAAAAAAAAAAACATTTGTGGTGTTACGGGTCAAAAATAACCTGGTAGAGAATACTGACTGTTTTATGCATCACTTACAAGCTGTGGGCTGCTCTGTGGATCAAATATGACTCAATGTACCCCACAACACACACACACACACAGGCCCCCTTCAACACACCTCCACAATGTGAACTCAAACTTTCCCATAGAATCTAGATACACACACATGCAGATGCGCACACACACGCAGATGTGCACACAGACGTGCACACACACCACACAACACACAGGCTCCCTTCACCAACCCTCCCCCACGTGAACTCAAACTTTCTCGTAAAAAAAATAATCCTATTCATAATATAGAGCCTGGCTTCATTTGCTTAATTCTGCTTTTTATTCATTTATTATTGCAGTTTGTGTTTTTGTTATTTTATTGTACATTTTCTAGAGTGTTTAGGGATAAACCCGCTGTTGTGTAAATTTGTTTATTATTGTTTCTTGTCAATATTTTCTCCAAAAATATACTTCAAAATGTGTAATCCTTTCCATCTGTTCTCGATTTCAAAATCACTTTATTTTTTTCTCCCAAGATATTACTTCATTCTGTTCTTTTTATTCATGCATTATATTATCTTTGAATTTGAACACATGCAGACACGCGCACACACACAGGCCCCCTTCACCACCCCTCCCCCACGTGAACTCAAACTTTCACGTAGAATCTATATTCACACACACACACACACACAAAGGTCCTCTTCACCCCCGTGAACTCTTCTCTTTCTCACAGCACATTGATACATTTTGAATCTAAAATAAACATTGTCTCATATAAACAGGGTTTTAGTGAGATTTAATCAGCTGCATTCTGTTGCAGCATCAGTCAACATGAGCAGGTTTACTGTTTATGAGGCTCTGGATCAGATCTTTGTTCATGACAGTGATTCTGAACACAGAGAGGAAGGTGAAGCTGAGGAAGATGTATCTGAGGATGAGGACATAGAACTACATAAAAGAAGTGGACTAAGTGAGTGTGACGTCACCCACAGCATTCAGCACCGCTCAAATGAAGCTCACAATGGTTACAGGAGCAAATCTAGAGCCAGGCTCTATGTTATGAGTAGGATTTTTTTGATGGACAAAAAAGCAGAAAAATCAGGATCATGTGGCGCAGGTTAATATGAATGTTTTAAGCCTCACTGACTGAGGCTCACAGCAGCAGTTACAGAGAGAGGGAAGAAAAGATCCCAACGCAAGTCATTTGGAGCCAGAGTAAGAAAGAGCCTCTTAGGGAACTTCCTATTTGGAACACGGCGGCTACAGCATTAGTTATGTCCATTCATATATATATGGTCTATGGATGAAGATGAGGTTCAGTATGACCCTGAAGAAGAACACACATCTGATGAGGAGAACGCAGATGTCACAAGGCTGAAAGAGACGTCTTCAAGTCAAGAAAAGGTGACATTTCATGGTCATCAAGCCCTTTTGACACCCAATATAATTATACTTATATAAATTATATTTATATTATATGTATTATATATAAAAATATTACGATTATAGTATAATTATATAATATAATTACTAATTTTATCACTATAGGAATTATAATTACTGAATTTAAACAGTTTTTGTAATCAAAAACGAGTGGCATATTTTAAGATAAAAGGTCTGTGGAGCCAAAAAAATATATATAAAAAATGTTTTCCATGGATATGAATACATACTAAGTTAGTTATGAGGTGAAAAACAATATTGGATGATAACTAGTGTTTTTAAGTATTTTCAGGCTGAGTTAAATCAGGTCAAATTTGACCCGGTAACACTAAAGATGTGTGTAGCTTTCTAACACAATACGAGGGTTAAACTGGAAATCAAACTAAGAATGGATATGAATCCAACAAATACAAATCAAATTTATTTACAGCATTTTTAGTTTAACAGAAGTTTAGAGAAAGAAGTACTAGTTTACTTTAATTCTCACTGTATTCTTGGTCCGCACTGGCAGCATTCTGGCATGGCTGATCTGAAATACTTCTACATTTGTAGCCACTTATGCAGAACAGACCTGCACTGTGACAACTGTATTTGCTTGTCTTACAGTCATACTTGCATCTGCAGGTAACCATCAAGTTGCAGGATTTTGGGATTGAATCAGTTTGGGTTCCAGGTTTCTATTGATTACCTTCCATCCCATTTCCTCTGCAGGAGGTAGAAATGGATTCCATACTAGAGCTTTGTAACGTGCTTTTCTAATAGGCTATGAGAAGCAGCACTTTAGGCGGTAGAGCCTCAGGCTTTTGCAACTTCGTGGCAGTAGCTCAGGTGGTCAGAGCATTTGTCCACTGATCTGAAGGTTGACGGTTTGAATCCCGCTGTCGACATAAACATCACTGAATGAGTGGTCAGATCCACTGACCCACAGGTTTTTGGTGTGATTCCACCTCCCACATGTGAATGCTGTCGTGTCCTTGGATAAGACACTTAGCCTGCCTCGCCCCCTCAGTAACATTTACTGAAATGTTGTGATATAATACATAACAGTGGCCTATATTCTCAATAAAGAATGAAAGCTGTCGATAGCAAACAGAGATAAATGACTTCCAGGAAAAAAATGAGCAGTCACCTCAAATCCAAACGTAGTAGAAATCTGAATCAGGAATTTGTTTCATTTTTGCTCATCAAATGAAAGAAATGAAGGACGCTAGCTTTAAAATGCTGCAGTATAGCCTTGTTTTTATATCAGTATGCTAATTAGGGGTCATGTGGTGACTTCTATCTTAGTTATCATATTTTCTATACAGTATACTGGTATTTGTTTTCTGGAATTTTTATGAAATCCATTCAATTTAAGAGAACTTTAATTTGATTAGCCTGGCATCTATGCTATTATGCTAATTAGCATTGTTAAAACTAAAAATTCAGCTTGGTAAACAAAATATATTTGGAATCAGCTCCCTCAAATTATGGGAAATAGGATGTTTACTGACTTTTCCTCAAATTTGCCACTAGAACTTTTTCTGAACATATTTTTCTTAGAACTATTCTCAGTCTATAACAACCTGCGCCAGTAAAGTGAAGGATTTGCCAAAAGACTTCATTTAACAGAGGAATCATTTCCTTCTACCCATCCGACTGATGCAGTAAGTAAAAGATTACACCAAACTAGTCAGAAAAGTTGATATGACATTGTGGTTTGTGTGTATGGTCGTTTGTTACTCCAGCATTAGCTGTGAATAACGTTATTTGCGTATCCAGCTGCATGAAGTCACTTGTGTGTCTTTTTGTGCACATTACGCTATTGATAATTGCCCCTTTTGCATTACCATTTCATTATCTTCCACCTAAAAGTGCTATGAGGTTAGTCAGCTGTAGCTTCTAGCACACCAAGCTAATCGCTTGTTTCCAGGATGTGTATAGGCTGCTAGTTTGGCACAGACGTGGATTTAGGTGGTAAGTGACTGTGGGTCTTCTCAAACTAGTTTTAATGTGTAACGGTATGTTCCAACCACTACCAAGAATAAATACTGTGGTCTTTAGGAGCCTGCCCTGCCCTGTAAGAAGACACCAGCTGCTGTGTCAAATGTGTAGTTCAAATAGTTTATTCAGCTCGGAACAGCGTTTAGCGTGTAGTAATAATAGCATAAAGAGACGACGTTCGGTTTATTTCTCAGTTTTGATGTCACAATGAAGAAGTGAATAATATTCAATATAGTGGATAACGAACACCTCTAATTTTATAACAGAATACCTCATGCCTACTAAGGGACTGTTGCGCGCGGCTTTAATTCTATTTATGTTTGTGTTTTTGCAGTTGTTTCTTGGGTGTGCAGAAGTGAAAAAGAAGTTATACAATAACTTATTTTTTCTATTTATTTGTGTACTTAGTTATTTCTTCGTGGAGTTGTGGTTGCAGACTATAATAAATATATACGGTATAGATTTATACAGTACAATACTTATAGTTACTCTATTTGTGTTTTTTTAAAGTTTTTTATTGGGTGTGCTTGTAGTGAGCCTAAAGTAAAAAAGAAGTTATATGGTGTTCACAACACTGTGAAATATTTTTGTATTTGTGTTTGCAATCTCAGTAAAGTACTTATGTATTTATTGATGCAATGTGCATTACCATGTGTTTTATTTGATTGTACTTCACTGTAACGTTTAGCGTTTGTTTGATAATAAATTTGCACCATATTGGAAAACTCAACTTCAGTGAGGTGCGCACTTGTAAACAAATGACGTATACAAACGTGGTTTATAGTAGAGTTTTACAGTTTTATGTTTCACTTTTAGTTTTTTAGTATTTAGTATTTGATTAAACAGTGTGAAGGAGCTCATTTGCATTTAAAGGAGACAGCACAAAATGAGTCATGGTCAGAGAGAGCTCTGAGAAAGGGCAGGAGAATGGACTCTGGAGCACAAATGATGAGAAATTAAGACTATGGGATCTATTATTACAGTTATTATATACCATACATGTTTTGGTATTTCATGAAAGCATAATATTTGTTCTTTAACTTTTTGAGCAGTGTAAGCAGAGTAAAATTATCATAGGCATAGAATTGTGGACGTGTGTGTGTGTGTGTATACATATACATATAAACAGAATTTTAATTACTTTTAAATGTATTCATTCAACAAACAGACTTCACTGAGGCTGTGAAAAAGGTATACAAATAATTATGTCGGCCTTATTTTTTTATTTTTGCTGTCCTCCAGTGAAACAACTCATCTGCTGTGCTATGTTTTGGCGACATTATTTCCACTGTTACCACATAAAGCCAAGTACAAACCAATCAGAGAAAGCTCCTCCCTTTGACATCATTATAATAAAACAGAGGCACCATTTGATATTACACTTCATACAGCGTACTCATCAACAAACTACAAGATCCAGAATATGTGGACTTTACTATACGCAGCCCTTGTCTTCCAAGCAGCCCGTAAGTATTGACACTTGAATAAGAAGTTGTGTCTCCTTGTTGTTTTTGTAACTACATTTGTGTTGCAGGATGTACAGACAGGAATTTATTTGTGACAAGATCTCATGACCCTGGAGAAACAATTACTCTCAGCTGTCCACGTTCTGTCAAAAAGACAGACATGTCAACATTGCATTGGATCAGAGTTCTTTCTGGAAATTTCCCAGAATTTTTAGGAGGAACTTTTAATTTTGAATATGAAGGGTTGAACAAGACTCCTCGCACCACGACAGAACAGGGCAATGGAACATTTGATCTGACCATACATCAGTCTACTCTCAGCGACACTGGATTTTACTACTGTGTGAAAGTACAACAACTTAAGATGGAATTAGTGTTTGGAGTATTCTTAAAAATAAAGGGTAAAATTAATCAAATGTGTTTGATTTATAGAATAATATTATATAATATGATTTTAGTTGTTGCTTTGTTCTTCAAACCCACCCTCAGACGTGAAAGTGGAGAGTCCAGATCTGTCTGGTCCAGTGGACTCAAGAGACTCTGTGGATCTTCAGTGTTGGGTCCAGATGGAGAATGCTCAGTGTTTTGAGGAGCGCGTAGTTTGTGCTGTGGCAGCCTGTGGAAACATTCTCTTTGGGAATGGAACTAAAGCCATCCTCAAAGGTATTATATTTATTTATTTTTGTTTTCCGATCACACAAAAACATATTGTTTATTACAGAAGAGAAAACCATTCTCATCTTGCTGAGTGTTGCTCTAACCATCAGTATCATAGTTATACTGGTGCTCATTTATTTCATCAAGAAGAGGACTGGACTCTGTTTCCATGGTAATTCAAGTTCCCAAATTCTGTCAAAAGGTATGCCTCCAGTCAAACCTTTAATGTCCTGTTTCTGTTTTAGTTGGACAAAATTGCACTGATGAAAGAGTCAGTGATGAACATTCAAGGCAGTTGGTAAGATGCACTTAATGACAAATATTAATGTAATAATAATAATAACAATAACAGTAATAATAATAATAATAATAGTAAAAAATAATAATAATACTTTTTAAATGAAGTATCTTTCACAGGGAGATGCTCAGGTGATGTACTCTGCCCTCAAGTACAAGAGCAAAGCTGACAGGTCCCAGCGCAGAGCCGTGAAAACAGAGGAACAAGTGCTCTACTCTGATGTGAGAGTTAAACTGTAAAATTAAGTCATGATTTTTTTTTTTTTTTTTCCATCGTCATACATAATGTAGTATGTAGTAGTAGTGTGTAGCAATTTAAGATAAGAGAACCTATATTTGTCCCACACTGGTAAAATTCAAGATTTGTATATTGTCTGCCATACATTAAAAATACATAAAATGTGCATCATTGTTTGTTTCTTAATGACATGGAGCAGCGGCTCAGCTCCAAGCTCTTTCTAAGGCAGCTAGTAAAACAAACACTTTCAGTTCTGTCTGGAGATGAGGAAGTCAGTTCTCATTCACTTATGGTACCAACCACAGCTTTAGAGCATCTCTCTTTTTGTCAAAGGAAAGTATATGTGGAAAATTCAGATGAAATCACCAACAGAATCAAACACACGTTCACTTTCACTTTGAATGGTCAACATTGTCAGTCACTTCGTTTACATGCACAGAGAACTCCGAGTGCACTAACCACTTTTGTCCCAGTCTACCTGCAGCCAAAGAACCAAATATGTGTGAACAGGGGGTTAAAATACATTCAGATTAATGATAAGATTCATTTAGCATTAACACTAAGAGTTGGCAACTATAACTGCTCATCAAAACAACTTTCTGCAGACATAGATAAGCTGCATCCCTTTTACGTTGAGCATTTGATTTTCAGACATGCTACAAACTGCTCACATTATTTTGTATTTTCTTTAAACCAAAGTGTAAATATCAGGGTCACTTCAGGATCCACCCACAAGAGAATCTTGTGCACTTAAATGTTACACTGTTCAAGATGGGACCCGCAGCATGACTAAATGTGCATGTGAGGTGTTAGTGCAAAGTTTTCCACCAGTCAACCTCAGACTGTGCAGACAAACCAAGCAGCAGTTTCACAAAGAGGAGACTAACTGACCAAGAAAAGAAAACCACATTCTTTTAAAAGTAGCAGTGCAATGGACCATCAAGTGTATCTGCTGCTGTTGTCATTTGAAATGTGCAATCTTGATATGTTGTTTTACACATCCTCCAAATGCATGGAAAATCTAATGGTGTTTTTAAAAAAAAGTTTACTTATCAACACAGGAAGAATATATTTCACAGCTCATTTTGAAACAAACCGCAGTGTTCCATGTGCACAGTTGTCATGGTTTCTCTCAAAATGGTGTACAACAAACAAACTATGTGACAATTGTATTCTCTTTTATCAGTTTGTAATAGTTTGAGTGACAAAATGTCAAGTGGACAACATTTTTGGAGTAAATACATTTCACAACTCATCCAAGTAGTTAATTCAGTTCTGACCAAGCTCTGACAAAAATATCTCTCTGAAAGGAGGAGCTAGTTACACTGAAACTAATACACCCTAGCTGTTTAAATGAATTGAGCCCATATGCTCCAAACCTAAAACAGAACATATAGGTCTATCAGGTTCTTTGTTCTTGGTTTGTGGAGGGTGACCAGACATCCTTTTGTTCCCAGATTTTAATTCTATCAATTAGCAGCTTTTTGTGACCCACTTTTCTTTGTTTTGGCGACAGTTTTGAGTTCAGATACAACCAGTGTGAAATTCAAAAACCAGATCATATTCACAGATAGGCCTGTAACGCCTGGGTTTCAGGTAGAAATCACATTAATTTACACAAGACAGATTGAGAGAAATCTTTCCACAATCTAAATTTCTATCACAGTGTCTCCTCTCTCTGTGGCTGCTGCTGTGAGACTTGTCATTTTGGCCTTGAAGTGTTCGTATTAACGCGACACAGGATGCTGTTTCTCTATGAGGGAGCCTCTGTCCTGTCTGATGTCGTGTCGGTTCGGTTTCGGGATTTCGGGTTGTCCCGGGCGCTAGGCTAGTTCTGTCACTCGGGTTTGGGTTTATGTCAGCTGTTGGGGTTTGAGACATTTATTTGTGCGCTCGCTGCATTTGACGCATGTGGCTATTGACACATGTCCCGTTCACTCGTGTTGATTCGGCATCGTGACTTGTTTTGTTACTCTGCGATGAACTGTTTTGGTTCTGACAGCAGCGCTAGCTTGTGGTTCTGCACTCAGACAACGCGCGCATTTGGTTCAAGTGTCATTACTTTTGTTAAACGAGAGGAATCAGAGAGCAATAGAAACCTTCTAACATTCAGTCTCTTTGAGAGCGAGAAAGAGCGAGAGAGCGAGGAAAACAAACAAGCATGCAAATAGAATTTATCGTGGCTGGAAACGTTATCGAGCTCGTTAAAAGTTATTGTGCGATTAATCGATTTATTGATTATCGTTACAGGCCTATTCACAGATATTGTTGATGGCTGTGTATTATCATAACCAGTCTCCATATACACCAGTAACGGTGCAGTCTAACACTGTTCAAGTATGCAGATGACATGGCTCTTGTAGCTGGTCAAGTAGCTTATGACTTTTAATGACAGACAGTGAATGTTTAATGTCTCCAAAACTTAGTAACTGTGCTGTAATGGCAGATAAAAATCTGGTTTTCAGTCCCTGTTTGAGAGTCTAAGGCTGAACGGACAGACAGTGGAGCAGGTGGAGTCCTGCAAGAATCTGGGGGTCCTGTTGGACCCAGCAATGCCTGTTCCTACTGAGGAAGCTGAGGAGCTTTCAGACTAGCCTGGGCATTTTAAAGAGGGGATATTATGCAAAATAATTAGAACATTGTTCCTTCATCAAAAACATGCCTGAAGGGGTTTTAGATCCACACATGACTCAGTAAATAGTCACATGTAGATTATGTAGTCAGTCTTATGAAGGATTTTTGTAAGGTGGCATTTTAAGGATAATGAAATAGTGTGTGTATGTAAAACACACCAAAAACAATTTTCTGTTTTTAAACAGACAATAAAACTTTTTAAATCTTTGAACCTTTTTGAGTCTTATGTTACTAAAATACCTGTGGCCTTGTGGCCCACTAAACTGCAGTGGAATACAGCAGACTAGGCCTGACAACCACAGTCCTCCTTCCAGAGTCTTTCACCGGGTTGGGTACCCGACGGGTATGGGCAAATAGTTGCTGAAATGGGTGGATTTTAACATTCTGGAATTTTACAGGCGGGTATGCGGGCGGGTAGTAATTACATACAGGTGGGTCAGGACTGAATCAGGACTAATAAAGAACTCCACCAGGACTAATCTTGGATTTAAGAGAGAGAGTGAACACCGAGCCCGCAGCTCTCACCTCCGTGCGGTAGCTCTGCTCCGGTCCTTTCGCCTGCATTCACTTGACAGACTACGCAGGCGCACCTCCGGACCTGTCCTGACAGTGAGTCCTGGTTCAGTTCTGGTTTAGTCCTGTTCTAGTCCTGTTTTAGTTCTAGTTCAGTCCTGGTGTAGTCCTGGTACAGTCCACGAATCAGTCCTGTGTTAGTCCTGTTTCAATCCGTGCGGATTGAACATGATCAATGTTTCTTTTGCTCAGTAATTAAAGTCTGTGAAGTGATGACAGTCGAGTCGGGTCTGTGAATTCATATTCGTAATGAAGTCGTTTCATTTCATTTTGTGATTGTCATTCTTGAAGTCATAACTTTTCAGTTCATATTCTGATGGCTGCTTCAGTTAGAAGGCTTGTAATTTGTGTGTGATTTATCACGGGCACAGGCGGGTAACGGGTGGAATGTTAACTGGTCCGGGTGGGGTTTAACTTTGATAAAATCACAGGTTAACGGGCGGGTGCAGAGCTGAACTGCGCGGGTGCGGGCGGGTGCGGCTCTCCAAAAATGGACCCTTGCAGGATTCTTGCCTCCGTTTCCATAACCCTAATTTGGTCACCTTAGGTTTGCAGTCGATATAAGAATTTATAATTAGATGCATGTAGGCTTCTGATTTTGTCTCAGTATTACATATGATTTATAGATGGTTTTATAAAAGCAATATTATCGATGATTTTCCTGCTGCAGATGGACTGAACATTGAGGCTTTCTACAAACAAGGCGTGTCTTAAAGGTGTGAAACATATTGTCCATTGAATGATGTGGTTAAATGAGAAGTATTTGGTAACATTATTTTCAGTGGAGATATGAAGAGTCACAGACCAATCAGATAGTTCTGAAGTGCTCCTCCCACTCATCATTATAACCAGCCAACATTTTATAATGCGCTTGCAGAGGACTGTTCTATCCAGTGGGTCAAAATGATATTGTTCCATCTTTTTCATGCACTGGCGTTTCTCCCACTGACACGTAAGTACTTAAGATATGTTTATGTAGACAACATTACTTACACTGTTTTGTAGTAAATTAATTATAAATCTGATTGTATATTTGACAGATTGTGCCAGTGATCCTGTGTTTGAGACAGAGACCTCCGATGTGGGACAAACAGTGACTCTACGATGTCCCCGTGATTCCTCTGAGAGCAACACATATTTGTACTGGATCAGACTTCTCTCTGGGAATGTGCCAGAATATTTAGGAGGAACTCCGTCATTTGATGATAAATCCTATGGAACTAAGCACTTTTCCATTAAAACAAAACAAGAACCTGGATCCTTCGTACTGAGTATTGAGAGACCACAGCTGAGTGACACTGGACTTTACTACTGTGTGAAAGTACAAAATCTGAACAAAAACATGGACTTTGCCAGTGTCATATTTTTAAACATTAAAGGTTTTTTTTTTTTTTTATTCCATAGTTGACTGTAACTATTTGACATATTCTGGCATTCTCAGGAGACTCTGTGGATCTTCAGTGTTGGGTCCAGATGGAGAATGCTCAGTGTTTTGAGGAGCACATGGTTTTGTGGTTCAGGTCTGGACTGGACCAGTCTGGTCCTGGTTTAGTCTACACTCAGAGGAACAGCTCTGCTCAGTGTAAGAGGAGCACAGAAGATCCTGGTCCTCACAAATGTCTCTACACTTTGTCCAAAACCATGAGCCCCTCTGACACAGGGACGTACCGCTGTGCTGTGGCAGCCTGTGGACTCATTCTCTTTGGGAATGGGACTAAAGTCAATATTAAAGGTATTTACAACTTACACATTATCTGAACATATCACTGATTTCAACTTTTCATTTGTCCATTCTTATAGAGAACAAATGTGATTTTGAGAAGACCATCATTATCGTGCTAAGTGCTCTATTAACCATCAGTGTCATCATTATAATGGTTCTCATTTATTCTGTTATAAAGAGGAAGTGTTGGTTTTATGGTACAACATTTTTATACCTTCTAAGAATCTAAGAATTTTAAATCCAGAATAAGACGCTGAAATGTCCCACTTTAATTTCAGATGGACAAACAGCTGATAATGTAAACAGAATTGAATGCACAAGACAGCAGGTAAGACAACAATGTGCATATAAACAATGATTTTTTTTTTCTCTCTTTCTGTCTATTACATTTCAATTTGTTTTACAGAGAGAAGATGAACTGACGTATTCCGCTCCAAAGTTCAACAAGAAAAAAACTGAGAAATCCCATTGCAAAAAGGTAAAGGCAGAGGATTTTGTGATCTACTCTGATGTTAGGAAATAGTACAGACAAAACACAATTTTATAGCTACATAAATACATCTTTTAATTCATGACTTTATTGACTGGAAGATTCAATACGTGGAACATATACTTAAACAATGTTGTTTTAACACATTTTATTTTGTTTAATTTTCATGTACTTAATTATTACATAAAGTAATTTAAAGTAAATGTGTATATAAAAGTAATCTTGAAATAAATCAGTAAATTTCCATTATTTAGAATTAGGTTGCGTTTACACTTGTCCTGGTTTGGTACTGGTTTGAGCCCAATTGAATCTGAATATAGATGTGGTCCTGTAAGTTCTGGTTTAGTCCTGTTTAGTTTCAGATTTAGTTTCAGTTTTGACTCAAACTTAGATGTAGTGATTGTGTAAATGCCCTTAGAAACCTTTTGTAGGGGTGGGTCATCACTGACCTGGCCAAAAATGAATGTTACTGTTTTTTTTTTTTTTGAGCTGGATTTCATTGTTTTTTTTGTTTTTTTTTTTCCAGTTCACAGTTCATAAACACCGTTTTTTTCTATTGCTTTTACGAGAAATAAACTCACTCACGCAAACTTTGGACTTTAATTTACTTTATTCAAGTAGAAATCCATTGGAGTTTGCAGACTAATAAACCAGAAATCTTAATATTGGTATATTGGTATATTGGTATTTTCTGTTTCATAGTGAACAACTCACAGTTTAAATTGGGCTTGAAGTCTAGCTGCTAGCACTGAAGTGATGTAACCGGGGGGTGACCGGGGTGAAGTGGTGAGGAAGATCATGAATACCTTAAATAGCGTTTTACTCTTACTTAAGCAATTTCTTGAACCACTACTTTGTACTTCTACTTGTAATAGTAGTAGTAGTAAAAGTAATAGTAATAGTAATAGTAAAAGTAATATTACTTTGCAGTAATGTTGCTCTTAATATAGGTGTGGTCCTGTAAGTCTTGGAAACAAAACACAACACCAGATGAGTAAACAACATACAAATTCAAACTAGTCACTTAAAACAGTAAGTAGGACTTTCAATGATGTCAGGAACTTAACAGCAAGAAAGTCAACCACAACACAGCTCTGTGTAGAGAGAGCGGACATGTGTGGTTTTGGTGCACTAAGCTGTAGTGATGTTGAAAAACCTTCCGTCTCTGCCTTTCCTGTTGACTGTTCATTGGTATAACTGTGCAAATATGGCCAACAATCATCAATAAGTGAAAATGCATAAGTTCTTTTGAGTGCAAGATATAAGGACAAGATATAAGGACATAGTACATTTTGTGGCCCAATTGATCATAGTCAGAATTGTAAACAGCAAATGCAAGTAATTCAACAACATCACATTGTATTGTGACACGGATCTAAAAATCATGGCATCTCTTTTAAAGCTATATAACATACAACCATGAAGGGTCACTACTGACTGCTGCTCTGTGGCTCTCAGCTTCAAATATGTTTCAAGATGTGGTCCTCGGTGAAAAGGTTTTTATACTCCTCATTAATGAAATTCATCATTCATCTTCATTTAGACAACTAAATGCTAAAGCTGAAGCTTCTCCACAGACCACCAAGCAACATGTCACAGCAGGCCGTGCCAACCGAAACATGCCACAGTTAAAACAAACCAATATTTATTAACTTTTAAAATCCACTACAGGTCAAAAGTTTTAGAACACCCTAATTTTTTCAAGTATTTATTGCAATTCAAGTCATGGAAGTCCATTGAAGAGCTTGAAATGGTACAAAGGTAAATACTGAACAGCCAGAGGTTAAAAAAAAAAAGTTAAAAGATAACAAAACACAGCAAAGTCTGTGCTGGCCATCGAGCCCCATCGAGTTGGTTTGAGATGAACTGGACAGAAGAGTGAAGCAACCTACAAGTGCCACACATTTATGGGAACTTCTGCAACATACTTGGGAAGAACTTTCTGAAGAATATTAGATTTTCATGAATCAAAATTTTAGAATATGTATATAATAATATAATAGTTAAGAGTAAAAAAATTGAGAAAGTGTGGTGTTCTAAAACTTTTGACTGGTAGTGTATACCTTTTCACTTTTTTAAAAATTGTTGAAAGTCATATTTATGCGAGATATAAAATAATTTGTTACATGATGTGCATATACAGTATATTTTATATTTGCTCTTCTAATTTCATTGTTCCTCATGAGTCTGTTCAAAAAGACAAGCAGAAAATAAAATAAAATATATATTCGAGTCAAACATCAATACTGATGTATCACCCATCCCTATCTGTGTCAGAAAATAGTCACTGACCAGGTAGAAATGTATTTTGTATAAACCACAGTGTCACAGACACTCCTCAGTCTGTTTGTGTGACTCTACTGAAGTATCAAAGAGACCGCTGGCCAAAGCAACAGCTCATGTTCAGGCTTCCTGTTTAATGTAGACTGAGCAAAAGACGTGTCACTATCCACAGAAATAATACAGCACTGCACGCTGTACTCAACTAAATCATGTTGTTTTTGGAAGACAACGTACAAATAATTTCATATTTTTTGTTGTGCCACATTAATTTGAAAAATGGTTAGTGCAGGTTTTGACAGGGAAATAGGTCAAAGAGCGGTCTCTCAAAACCATACATGTATTTGTACAATGTGTGGTTCATGAAAAGAATTGTCTCAGGCCAATCACGTTGTTATGACATGCTCCTCCCCAATGCATTTAGCCAGTAGTGTTCTATCTCTTATATGCACTGATGCACTGGCATTTCTCAGCCTGTCGGGTAAGTATTGAGAGTATTGAGAGACCACAGCTGAGTGACTACTGTGTGAAAGTACAGTATATAAATATATCTATCTATCTATCTATATCTCTATATCTATATATACATATATACATACATATATATATATATATATATATATATATATATATATATATATATATATATATATATATATATATATATATATATATATATATATATATAGATATATAGATAGATAGATAGATATAGATATATATATTCTGTCCGTACTTTACTATAATTTTTGGACTTATTTTGCCATTCTTTAGAGCTAGACTCAGGAGACTCATATACAGCTAAAATCACCCTTATCCTGCTGAGTACTGAGTACTGTCTTTGGTCCCATTGTCATTATTACTCCCATTTGTCTGACCATGAAGAAACTCAACAAAACAAACAAAGAACAACAGGTACCAAAATATTCTTAAACCAGCATTTATGTTTCATGATTCATGTTAATGTTGCTTTTATGATCAATTCTTTATATATATATATACTGTATATATAGATAATTTTTTTTCCTACAACAAGCTGCACTGCATCAGGCGACTGAAGCATCAGAAACAGAATGGCTGATTTAGGTGTAATTACTTCATTTGAGATGACTTGTGCTGTTAAACAAGTTTCTCAAACAAAAAAATTAGCTAGTCACTCACCTAAAAAATTTCAAACAATCTAAAGTTTTTTGGCAGTGTTTGCTAATGTGTCCATTGTGTCTCCATGGAAACTGCTGAACATTCCACCATAAATATTTATGTAGACCCACATCATCATTGCAAAATATCAATATAGGCAAATTGAAGTGTGGAAATATGAATGTGTATTTTTCAACTGACTAATAGTAAATCAAGCCAAAGAAATAAATGAAAACAGCATGTACCCTATGTACAGTGTATTGTATTTTACATTTCACATAAATACATATAACTACAATAACATATTTGATTTCATCCTATAAGATGCCTTAAAAAAAAGAAAATAGTATTATGACTAAAACTTGCACAAAAGCAGAATATGTAAAATCACATACATAAAACAACACAAACAATCTTGTCTATATATTCTTGTGAGGATCAGTCTCTCAGTGGTGCTCTGCTCTCACACTGGAGTACACACACTCCTGCTCTCCTTTTGTGTTACTGCTCTGTCTTTGTTTCACTTTTCTGGAGGAGAAATTCAGAGCTGCATAGTTGACATCTGCACGTGCATCCTGCAAATATGTGTTGAAACAAATTAAATATGTTACTACCAAAAAGAAAAGCTTTTCATTTAACAAAAAACAAATGCATTAATAATGTATAGGAAACAAATAGTAGCCTACCATATTTTCTGACATCTCACACTGTGTACTATTAACACTATCAGGAGAATCTGTAAAAGAACATTATGTTAATCCAATTTATTAAGATATTAGCCATGTGTACCATCTCACCTCTGCAGTGTGCACAGAGCCTCCCTCTCTTCACACAGAGGACGATGATCACGAGCACACACACACACAACAGGACTGACAGAAGCCACAGTCACTGGCAGCAGCTGCAGCTCTGGGAGCTCATCTGAAAAATATATAGATAACATTTAGATTACATTTTAACCTAAATGTTATGTTATAACCTATTTATTTAGGTTTTATTTTACACAGCCTTCATATGTGTAGCAGTCTGATTGGAGTTCTAAATTCAAGGTTCAAGGCATCTTTATGATCCCTGTGGGGGTTTGCAGCAGTAACATATAACAGGCTCACACAGACAAACGTAATGGCCATACAACAAATATATTGAGCATTGTTAAATCTAACAACATTTGGAATCAGTCTTCTACAAACTCTGTGATTAAGTGTTTGGGGTGGAACATTTAGTCAAATTCAAGTTTCACTAGAGTGGAGTAAACTGAGCCTCATGTGTATTTGAGGCAAACACCTAAACTGGAGAACATGGAACAAATTGAAAAAAAATAAATTAAATAAAAAATCCAGTGAATTTGTGAACTCAGATATATTTTTAAAGAAAACTCCTGCACAGTATATGGTTTTCAGCTAAGTGACTCCTCATACTATAAGTGTCGTCCTGTGAAGTGTGTTGAGTCCACCAAGAATTTATGCAGCTGAGGTAAACATTTATTAATGAGACTTTTAATTAAGAGTAGTCGACAGACTTAGAGAACAGTGGCATTCTTTACATTTTCTCTTCAGAGGCTACAATTATCCTCAAACTTAAAATATGACTTTTAGAGCAAATATGACGTACCTATGTCCAGTGTAGTTCCTGTCCCAAACAGGATATGTCCACATGTGTGCACAGCGCAGTAGTATGTCCCAGCCTCAGAGGAGCGTCCTATAGTTTTGGACAGACTGTAGACACAGCTGGAGTTTGTAAAGTGGGACATGAGTCCAGTGTGAGGCTCCACAGATCCAGCTCTGAACCAGTGCACCTGCTGCTCTTGTGGACACTGGATTTGGCTCTTGTTGTTTTTGGGCTGAAGTGAACACTGAAGAGACACTGAGCGTCCTGGGACCACTGAAGCTGAGGATGGACTCTGTGTCACATGAACACAGCTCTGTGAGTCTGCTCCATCTGTGACAAAGACAAGAGCACACAGTGTCAGCAGCTACTCTTTACTATTCACTTAGTATTCTAATACTTTACCATTAACAACCAAGTAGGTGCTGTTCACAAAGTTCTGTCCATATTCATCACTCAATATGCAATAGTAGATTGCTTCGTCCTCTTTTCTGATATTTTGTATTGTAAAAAAGTGCTGATTATCCATTGTGGTGAAACTGAACCACTGATTCTTAAATGATTCACTTACTTTAACAGTATTATAATATATATACGCCATAAACTGCATTGTATGTCCTGGGGTTTGCTTGTACCAGTTAACATGTTTATAGTAAATAGAAGAACATGTAAATGTGACAGTGTCTCCAGGTTGGACCAGTGTCAAAGGTATTTGGTCCTCTGCACTTTGACCTGGAAAAAAACAAAAACAACCCTTGTCCAGAAATGTATCACCAACATTTAATAGTTAGTGTAGTTTTACTTACACAAGATGCTCAGGAGGATGAAGGTGATGAGTGGCCCTACCATGATTTCTTCTGATGTTCCAGACAGACTTGCATGAGTATTTGATGTCTCTTCATCTTAAAGCGAGCTTTGAAAAGCGGAAATAAATGTGACTGGCTGAAACACACATTTACCACACCCACAGGCGCACTGTGTCAATTTTCTGGTAGATGGTCCGTCACCTTCTTGTCCCCATGGAGATGTTCTTGTTTTGCCCACCAATGTTTCACAGACAAGAGTAGATGTAAATAGCATAATAGTAACATCTAGGCCAAAGCAAATTTAGTCTTAAAGATTCTTTCAGTTTCAAGACCAGTAGGTGGCATCACCTTGTTTTTTAGGTATTTTTGATCAGATGAATAAATGTATAATAAATAAGTAAAGTGCTATAAAAAGGAAGATTCCAGGCTAAAATGTAACAGCGGGAGACAAGCTGGTGGCGGAGCTTTCATCAGAAAAGTTACATAAGTCTTGTTTCCAAAATGAAATGTACCACCCATTTTGATGTGTCCCAAGCGGACCTTTGGAGGTTCTGACTCCCTTTAGGAGGAGCTAAGTGGAGCGAGATTATTGTGTCACAAGGTTGTTTTGAATGTTGAATACTGTCAAAATATAATTTATCTTGTGTATTTAATGTCATTTAAGGCCCCCAGTGTATTTAGAATCTTCCAGAATAGTTGGCAGTAGTGGTTACTTTCTCACGCTCCTCTGCTCTCCCCTTTCTGCTGTTTAAAGATGTATGTAACAATATGTAAATAGTGAGCTCTGTGATTTTGTTATATTTTTGTTAAATATACATTCATATAAATTAATAGAACTTGTTTCTTATTGGAATCTTTTTGTATTGTGCTGTAGTACTTAAGTTTTTACAGGTAAAAGATAGGCCTATAACTGCAGTAACGTGCAATTGCAATAATAGTCACAGAATTTTGAGCACAGCAGACGACTGATTATGTGCTGCTAATGGGCGGTCACCTTTTTCACCATGCCCCAGTTTTCAGTTCTAAAGATGGCAAAAAGAAAATATAAACCAAACAATGCCTGTAACATGTGTCAAACCCAATGGTTTATATAAAGAGATGTTAAAAAAAAGTGGTAAAGAGGTGCAGGGAAGTGAAATAAATGCCAGAAATGACGACACTGGATTTAAAGTAATTCTCGCTGCCATATAATGTAACATACATACATACAAATATTCTCACACTATATGCAAGGAATGTGTTTCTCCACTAATTTTAACAAATGAATATATTAAATACATGAACAAAAAAACAAACAAAAAAATCTAACAAAATTAACTGAACAACCCCTTTTTCAGTGCATGTGATGTGACATTTTAGATTTCTTCTCTTATCTAATCTTGTGTCACTGAAACAGCCTTTCCATTATCTAATATGATTAAATAAGATTGTGGGCCCTGCTCTAAAACTGCACTTCAAACATTGTGAGGTACTATATATCTAATGTTCTTCGCCCACCTATTGGAAGAGGAAATTACTTTGTTGTCCAAATCACCTGAATCCAAACAAGACGTTTTGTGTATTTTCTGGTCTACAGTTTATGAACAATCCCTTCCTCAGTAGCACACAGATGAAGCAAGAGACTGAAGTAACTTTTGTCTTTTCTGTAGATTCTCCTCAAGGCACTGAATGATAACAGGGTCTATTTTGGGGTCAAATTTATTAGCAAACCAGTGACCGTCATCAAGTAGCCAGCGCATTTCCGCCACACCATAGATGCAAACACCCCGTATGTGCACACCAGTGCAGCGTGGGTACAAATCGCCCTCCATGTAGGACCACTTGACCAGCCTCGTCTTACTCATTTCATCAGTGACATCTGGGTGTGACCGGGGAACCTCTCCTGGTACACCAGGCAAACGTGCAAGGGTTGCCCAGAAATGTTCATCGGGGGAGTAGGTATCTTCACACCAAGCCAGAAAATCTTTGACCACATCAGAGGATTGCATATACTCCACAAATTCCCTTGACAGGACAAAGTAAGCACTGCCGGTAAACATTTCAATCCCATGAGGCGGTGACTTCTTCTCCCTATTTGTTTTGATGGGCATTTTTTTGTATTCATGGTTGACATCTTTAATTTCATGGTGATACTTATATCTTTCACTTTTATACGGAGTAGGTCTGCAAGTCTCTAACATGTTTGCACCTTTTAATTTGGTTAGTTCATTCACTAATTCAGTATTGGGTCTGAGGGGGAAATCCTGTCCACAAAGGTTGATAATGTACTTCCACTTAACCTCTGACTTCAAAAGGTCTGACATGCAATGCAAATCTGCCTTTAATCTGGTAATGCTGGCATAGACCACATATTCTCTTTTTGAAGCAATCATAACATTTGGCAAACACCGGGCCAAGCTTTCCATTGCTGAACGGAACTTATCTGAAGACTTCTCATCGTAGTGAATACAGAAAATATTGTTAGGAGAATATAATGCTTTGATAAGTCTCTCCACCATCCAGGCATATTTGTGGACAACTAATGAATACGCCAATGGGAAGGTTTTCTCCTCCTGTGACAAGCATACATCGTTATAGCCTCTAGACTTGAGGAAAACATTGCAATTCGATGTGAGATTGACCAGGCCATCATCCGATTCCTCCACAATGTGTTTCCTTAATGTTAAAGCTCTCCACACTTCCATGGGGTCCATGTCGTATATTGCAGAGCAGTCCACATTGAATCGGTGAAAAGTCTGGAGGTCCAGGGGAGCGGGAGTGGTGGTGAAGTGATCCATATTACTGTTCCTCAAGATCATCATCAGCATGAGGCTCAGGGCCAAGGCTGCCAACAGCCATGACAGGGCGCCCCTCCACACTCTGATCTTATACATACAAAGACAAATAACATTCAAAGTCACACTCTCAGACATAAAAGTATAAAGTGAAAAATAATAACATGTGAAGTGTCGACTACTCTGTGAAAAAAAAAAAAAAAAAAAAAAAAAAAAAAACAGAAAAGTGTAACTTACTCTATTAATGAAGTAGATTTCCATGTAGTTAGTCTGAGTTCAGGCCAAATTATCAATGAGTGCATGAAAAGATACTCAATGACTCAATGTTGACTTGCTACTGTCTGTAGGTTAATGTCTTAAGTAATGTTATCTGAAAATGATTATAGACTCCCAGAAAGAGGCGGGCAGGTTACACCTTCTCTGTCCAACTATTGGCTATTTTATCTCCTTGCACTTTTTGTGATGCTTTTATTTTAGGAGGGACTTACATTCCAAAGACAAAACATCCAGAGCAGTTATTTATCAAGTATAGGCCTTCACTAGCCTTGACTTACTAAAGTTATCATGGATATAGTAGCTAAAACAGGGTGATGACTGGCTAGCACTCATGTTTCACAGCAAGAAGATTCTGGGTTCAATCCCTGGGTCATGCGAGTCTGTCTGTGCAGAGTTTGCATTGCTTGGCTTGGATTTCCCACATCAGCTCAAGGGTCCTTGGGAGCACCATGGTAAACACTGTTACTGCTAGTCTAACTGCTGTAGCTTTAGATCAATGAGCCTCATTCATGAAATCTTCTTAAGAACAAATTTGGTCCTTCTTTTGACCATTTTTGGCATTCACAAAATGTTCTTCTGTATGAACAAATCCTACGAGCAGTCAGGAGCACTTGTAAGAACAAAAATTCTACTGTTTTAGAATATTATTACTCAGATAATGCAACGAAAAATTTGAATTCATCCATGATTGTAAGTTACATATTTCTTTATGTATCCTTATATATTTCCTTCCTATGATGCATTTTATAGAGCATGTGTTATAGAGCATATGAGCCCCTGGGCCTGGTCATTCAACACCCCTGACCCCAGAGTTCTCTCAGCATCTTCTTAAAGTGGAATGAAGAAGTGTTAAGAAAAGATTCATGAATGAGGCCCCTTACCTTTAAGCTATTGAAGTCTGCATCTATGATAGAGGTGGACTTGTAAATATTTACCTAATTGTTTCTTTGATTGTTATTTAATGTTCTGGTGCTAAGTAACTTGATTTACTTGATTCATTTACATATTTTGGGTGATTGTTCATATAAACGTTTTACACAGTTATTCATAGGTTGATTTATAAGTGTGTGTAATTTCAATTAGTAAAATGATTTAAATGTGCTTATAGATAACCAGATGAAAGGATTGATAAACAGACAGAAAAAAGATACAGCAAATGACATTAAGGCTCCACATATCAATTCAAGCGTCCATCTTCACTCTCGGACTGGAGTATTGTTTGGTTGAAGTGTCCCAACATACATTGCATACAGTCTAGAGTCCAAGCTATCTCCAGTATTAAGTGATATCCTCCAGGCACTGCCCATTGCTCCTGAGATGCCCAGTGACATTAAAGGCTGGGTCAAGCTATAGTTTTCTAATAGTTTTTCTTAAACAGCCTTTAAATATTTTCTTGGTGTGTCTTGACTTACTAAAGCTGCCAGAGTTAGAATCTAAATTCACGTAATGAGTACGGTAGTCCATCTATGATAGAAGTCAATGGAGCCTAGGATCATGGTCCAAGACATTGCTCAAGACAAAAACCAATGAGAAAACTAGAGCATATCTGACTGAAAGGTGCAAGGAACACAAATTCAAATCTAGTAATTAATCTATGGTCAAAATAAAGCGTGCGGCTTGACTTGCTTATAGAAGGAGCAGTCTACCAAACCTTTTACTCAAGAGTACTGTTACACTGTAAAACAGTACTACTAGAAGGACCACAAGCTCTGAAAGTCTTTTGTAATTAAGTAGGCTATTAAGTAATTATACATTTTAATTATTTATTTATTTATCTATTTATTTATTTGTTTGTTTGTTTGTTTAAAACAAGGACAGTGCAAAGAAAATGTTAAACTTAGAGAGAATAGATGCTCTGGGCCGGGATTTAGCTACAAGCTACTTTCCATCTGCAGTCCTTGGACAGGTACAAAATATATTAAGGAAACATTTGACCAACTGTAGGAACAACATTTCATCATTAACAGTGTCTCCTTAAAATAATCACAATTCCATCATCATTAAACATTAAAAAAATTTATTCGTTTAATAACAAGAACAACCTGCAATGCATTGAGCAATCTTTACTTCTATTATTTGTAATGTGCGATAGATTAATTTTGATCACCAGTGACGATGTTATCAAGTAATGATATGAAATGATTTCTTGTCTTGAACATGATGTGCATGTGATGGGACATTTTGGATTTGGCAATGTTCTGTTATCTAATCTTGTGTCACTTATATGGCCTTTTCATTATCAAATATGTTAAAATAAGATTGTGTGCCCTGCACTTACTTCCTAGAATAACTGACACAGAAATCAAACAGCAAGTCTTTAAAACAAGATATTGTATAAGTAATGTCAATATAATGCTCTGTAGAAGAGGCTTTGTGATTGAAATAAGCATAAGAATTAGAACAAGGAAAACAAAGAAAAACCTTGATAACTAAAATCAAAATATCACACAGTATGTTCCTGAGTGGGCCAAGTGAGGATCAGTTTCTCAGTGGTGCTCTGCTCTCACACTGGAGTACACACACTCCTGCTCTCCTCTTGTGTTACTGCTCTGTCTCTGATTCATTTTTCTGGAGGAGAAATTCAGCGCTGCATAGTTGACATCTGCATGTGTATCCTGCAAGTATGAAGACAAAACAAACATGTAACCACTGAAATCTCAATCATACCCAATTATCTGTTGTTTTTAATGTGCTCAAAATTTCAAAATGTTTGTTTCAGTATCAGCACATACCATATTTTCTGAACTCTCACAGTGTGAACTATTGACAGTATCAGGAGAATCTGTGAAATAGGATATGCCACACTATTACAGTTATGCATAGACAATAACAGAAAATAGTTCACATTTAGTATATGGTACCTCTGCAGTGTGCACAGAGCCTCCCTCTCTTCACACAGAGGACGATGATCACGAGCACACACACACACAACAGGACTGACAGAGCCACAGTCACTGGCAACAGCTGCAGCTCTGGGAGCTCATCTGACAATGTATAGCAAGGTTACATTATATAAATCTTGTAGAAGTTTCATTCATATGTGAAGCACTCTGATTGGAGTTGTATAAAAAAAAATACACTGGGATGACAAATACTAATACTACTACTTGTCACTAGTCAAGTCCACCAAAAACCAAACTCACAAATATCATAAGAATTAATACTGCTGGGCAACAGGGGAAAATATACGTATGAGACTAAACACAGTAGTCCATAGAAAACAAAAAGAACAATAGCATTCTTTATATTCCCAGAAAGTCATCATTTGTGCAGTCAGTCAATTAAATGTTCACTTCAGAGGCTACAATTTATTCACACACTTAAAATATGACTTTAAGAGCAAACATGACGTACCTATGTTCAGTGTAGTTCCTGTCCCAAACAGGATATGTCCACATGTGTGCACAGCGCAGTAGTATGTCCCAGCCTCAGAGGAGCGTCCTATAGTTTTGGACAGACTGTAGACACAGCTGGAGTTTGTAAAGTGGGACATGAGTCCAGTGTGAGGCTCCACAGATCCAGCTCTGAACCAGTGCACCTGCTGCTCTTGTGGACACTGGATTTGGCTCTTGTTGTTTTTGGGCTGAAGTGAACACTGAAGAGACACTGAGCGTCCTGGGACCACTGAAGCAGAGGATGGACTCTGTGTCACATGAACACAGCTCTGTGAGTCTGCTCCATCTGTGCCAAAGACAAGAGCACACAGTGTCAACAGCTACTCTTTACTATTCACTTAGTATTCTAATACTTTACCATTAACAACCAAGAAGGTGCCGTTCATGAAGCTCAAAATAATTCCACCCCTTATTTGACAATAGTAGATTGCTTGATCTTCTTTTATGATATTTCTGATTTCAAGAACATGTTTTTTATCCACTGCGGCAAAGGTAAAACGATTTTGATCTTTAAAGGAATCACCAACATCATTTTGTTCATAGTACACAGTTGCAATTTGTTGCATTGTATGTCCTGGAGTTTGCTTATACCAATAAACTGCACTCGCAGTGTCAAGAGAATGTGAACATGTAAAAGTGACAGTGTCTCCAGGTTGGACCACTGTCACAGGTATTTGGTCCTCTGCACTTTGACCTATAAAAAACACACTCATAAATCATCATGTATTTCATATATTCTGTCAGTGTAGTTTTACTTACACAAGGTGCTCAGGAAGATGAAGGCAGTTAGTGGTCCAGTCATGTTTCTTCTGATGTTCCAGACAGACTTACATGAGTATTTGAAGTCTCGTCACCTTAAAGGGAGCTTTGAAAAGCGGAAATTGTAGCGATTGGCTGAAATACAAATTTACCACATCCTAAGCATAATGAAGGTCTGTAAGGTGGGTATGTAGGTCTCCATAGGACTTAAAGTTACAGATTTTTATGATTCTCTAATTATTTTGGGGATTATACCTGTTTTAACTATAAATTATAGTTCTGCAGAAATCAAGGAGCAATGACAGGTTGACAAATATGTTGAAAATTACATGAAGTAGAGAGAGTTCTAAAATATATTGATGGCATCATACTAGGCAGACTTTTATCCAAAAGACACCATTTATATACAAGAAACACATTTCTTCTGATTTATTACTGATACATTATTTTAAGTTTTTTTTTCATATTTTCATTTGTCAAATAATAATATCTATGTAGATTAGAGGAGTTATATATAAGAGGACTAAGGGAGTGTGACGTTACCACAGCATTGGGCTCCAGTCGAATTAAGACATTTCAGGCTAGCAGTTTACTCATTTGGAGCCAAGATCCATAGTTGGAAATCTGAGCATGTGTATCATAGCAACCAAAGAGTCACCCGGGAGTGAAACTGTTTAAGGTACATACATTTTCAATAGAATGTTGCCCAATCACGCCCATCCAATATGGAACGTGGTGGCTTGTGGGTAAGCTATCTCTCACTCATATTGATATTTTGCAGTGACATTGTGCTGGGGGTGTTCTACATGTATCTCTGTGGTGGAATGTTCAGCGGTTACCATGGTGACACAATGTACACATTATCAAACAGGTAGTCTAGTCTAGTTTAGTCTTCCTGGTTTAGTCCTGGTTCAGTCCTGGTCCCCTCATGTTACAGGTCACTGTAGGACAGTACTGGAGACATCATGAGCCTATATGCAATTTGAACTGAAGACAGTTCCTGCACTTTGGAGTTTATTCAAAGGTACAGTATAGTCATTTCAAAATTAGCATTGTATTGCATCCTCACTTGACACAATTTTTCACTCAGAAATATAAATCTAACACACACACACACACCCTTGACAAATGACTATCAAACATCTTTACCTGCTTCCTCTGATTCTTCCTCTGGTTCTGTGTCTGTGCCTGACTCAGACTCTGACCTCTCACTGTCCTTATCCTCTTCAAGGTTCACATTCACATCATTCTCCTCATCACTGGACACAAGCTCATCCTCACTCTCCTCTCTTGGAAGAGCTAAGTCTGCCCTGTGACATAGAAAAAGCTGGTATGCATGTTCTAAGGATGAAAATGAACAGGTTTAAGCTGATGACAGTACAATGATGGTAAAGGTACAAAACAAGCAGAACACAATTATAAATATTTAACTATATACATTTCTATTATTTATATTACATAACCTTCCTTTTGCAAAAACAAATTTTCTTTAGTGAGCAATTGATATAGTTGTCAATAACTCATATAACATATTAATAAAAATGTTGGAATAACATAATTAAATAAATTTTATGTTATCTGGTTAAAATGTTATAAATAATTGCAAACATAGTGTCAGGATAGTGGAAGTTTTTGTTTGTTTGTTTTTAACTGAAACTAAGGGGAAACTAATAATGCATCAAAATCAGTTTTTGCTTTGTTTCGTTTTGTTTTTTACGGTGGTCAGGAAGTGTAAAACACGTTTACATTTCACAATACACATTAACAAGTTTGAAAACAAAATTACATTTAAACTACACATTTACATCTTGAAAACAAATTTACCTTTCATAAAACACATTTGCAAACAAATTTGCAAACACATTTGCAAATAAATAAAACTTGTACAAGAGCCAAAACAAATGCTTTTTTGTTGATTTACAGATGCTTCCCGTGTATCAATCCAGAAACAGGCTCCAAGACAAAGAGGAAGCGTGGAGGCATCATTGCACATGTAAGCACTCTAATACGCAAACTGGTAGATTTTGAGTGGCAGACAATGTAGAAGGAATTACAAAATGTTTTAACAACTTGAGAGTATCCCTTTTTGTCATGACCTGTGGAATCCATTTTGGCAAACTGGCCCATTGCCATAATCCCTATAGTCATAGCAGTAGGTTTGTTAGCTTTATTGTCAGTACAAGATGTTTTTTAGATTGGTGGAATTCTCTCATCAAACTCATTAAATACACAATCCAGCAACTCCAAAACACTCTGGTGGACAAGTTGTGACCAGCACATTCACCTCTCTCTTTTTACCTCAAAAACAACAGTCTGGTAACGTCACATTATGATCTCATATTGTGGCAAATGTGCAGATCATAACTTGTGCACCAGAGTGTTTTGGAGTTGTTGGATTGGGTATTTGATGAGATTGAGGAGAGAAACCAAGAAATCCTGTAAGCCTCCATAGCGGTAGCTCTGAGCAGCTCACATCTCTGCTCCACCAATCTGAAAACAGTTTGTATAGATAATTAAAGGTAACAAACCTATTCCTAGGACTATAGGGATTATGGCAATGGGCCAGTTTGCCATAATGTTGAACTATCCCTATAAAATATGCCTGAATTGTAGTGGTTGTACTGTTGTACATTTTTGCTGTTGCACATTTTAAATAGTTCATTTTTAACAGTGTTTGTAAAGGGTGTCCCATTTGTCCCTCGATTCCATTGGCAGCCATTTTGATTGCATGTAAGAGCCAAAAAATCTACTTCCTGTGAGAGGTTTTACTGTTGCACATTTTGACAGTTGCATTTTTTTGCTGTTGGACATTTTATACTTTTATAATTGTTTAAAACTGTTAGTATGCTTACGATTTGTACTGAATGTGTTGGGTGCATGTTTGTCCAGGAAACTGCCTATGAATATTTCTGTTGAATATAATTGCACTTTGCACTTAGCATAAGCTTGATTAAAAAGTGAAAACAAATCATCATATCGTTCTGTTTTCTACTTTGAGCATAAAGTGAGAGGGTGCAGTAAAATTACAATTAAAAAAAATTTGATTTTACAGTATATTACGCTGTTAATTAAACTGTAAATTTACAGTAAATTATTGGTTAATAATTGCATTACTTTTACAGTAATTCAACATAAATATTTTCACAGCAGTTTACTGTATTTATTTCACAGTTTAATGTAAGTTCACAGCTAATTACTGCTATATCACAGTAATTGCTAGGGCATGGCAAATGTGAATTTACAGTAAAGTGTTGTTTCATCGTAAATTACTTTGAAATAATTACAGTAAAATGCTTTGAACTATTTACAGCAAATTGCTGTGAAATTAATGCAATTATTAGCCAATAATTTACTGTTATTTCAGTGTGAGGTACAATTATATTTTGGTATGCATAAATTGTGAGGTGTATTTGATGTGCGATATGTGTGTACATATGATGGAGTGTGAGTCCTCAATTAATGATAATAATATATAATAGGGCAGTATAATTTCTATGTACACAGCACTGGTACAACTCGACATGTCTGTTTTCAAACAATACAACTGCTTAATGTAATTTTAAAGGTGTGCAGTTTCTTACTTTTACTGGTACTGTAGTTGATTTTTTTTTTTTTTTTTTTATTGAATATCAGCACATTTTAGTAAAAAAAGAGCATTTAAAGGTGACCACTTTTTGAGCCATGTTACAACGGTGTTCATCATCATACACTTACTCAGAGTTTTGATTGATTCCTGCATGTTTTTTGTAAAGGTACTTTTTATTGTCACTGTAGGGAAATTTGACCCATTTGGTTCAATGCTCAGAAAAAAACAGTTTTCACCTACACCCATCCAGGCCCACAGTATACATGTAGGGTTAAAAATGGCATGTCGTCATGTAGTTTCATCAATAGAAATGGGGCATATCAGTTTTAGATTTTTGAAAAGGAAGTCAATAGATCTTTTTTATTAGTGAACCATTTAAGATCAATATTGAGGTTTATAATGAACAAAATCTAAAATAATTGATCTGTGTATTGTATAGTTTAATATTAAATACCACAAAACATCATCATATGTCTTGTTTAAATATATTATATTTGTGTCTCAGATGATTGACAATATTTTTATACACAAAATATCTAATTTGCAAAGAGGTTGGGCTGAATGAAAATACCCAACACATTGCAACATTCAACAATAATATTGGACTGTACACAAACTTGCATGAAGAGTAGGCTCTTATAAAGTTTCCCTCCTCCCTAGTATCCCCCCAGCATCTCACCGTCCCATTCACTCTCCTCTGTCTTACATTTACCCCCTCCAATGTCCAGGCCCTGGGGGGGAGACATCTTATAAAGGTCATCCAGTTGGATCAAAGTTAACAAATTTAATGAAGCTACTAATGCTTTCTCTTTGAGTCTTTCTGAGTCTTGACAGACTTGAGTGTGACAAAAAATAAACCCAATTTATGACGTCATTACACTGGATTTCCAGTAATTCTCACTGCCATATAATGTATCATACATACATAAAAATATTCTCCCACTACATACAAGGTATGTGTTTCTCCATTAATTTTCACAAATAAATATATTAAATATATTAAAAATCTAACAAAACTAATTGAACAACCCCTTTCTCAGTGCATGCAGTGTGACATTTTGGATTTCTTCTCTTATCTAATCTTGTGTTGAAACAGCCTTTCCATCATCTAATATGATTAAATAAGATTGTGGGCCCTGCCCTAAAACTGCACTTCAAACATTGTGAGGTACTATATATCTAATGTTCTTCGCCCACCAATTAGAAGAGGAGAAATGACTTTGTGGCCCAAATCAAATGAATCTAAACAGGACGTTTTGTATATTTTCTGGTCTACAGTTTATGAACAATCCCTTCCTCAGTAGCACACAGATGAAGCAAGAGACTGAAGTAACTTTTGTCTTTTCTGTAGATTCTCCTCAAGGCACTGAATGATAACAGGGTCTATTTTGGGGTCAAATTTATTAGCAAACCAGTGACCGTCGTCAAGTAGCCAGCGTATTTCTGCCACACCATAGATGCAAATACCCCGTATGTGCACACCAGTGCAGCGTGGGTACAAATGGCCCTCCAGTTTGGACCACTTGACCAGCCTCGTCTTACTCATTTCAGCAGTGACATCTGGGTGTGACCGGGGAACCTCTCCTGGTACACCAGGCAAACGTGCAAGGGTTGCCCAGAAATGTTCATCGGGGGAGTAGGTATCTTCACACCAAGCCAGAAAATCTTTGACCACATCAGAGGATTGCATATACTCCACAAATTCCCTTGACAGGACAAAGTAAGCACTGCCGGTAAACATTTCAATCCCATGAGGCGGTGGCTTCTTCTCTCTGTCTGTTTTTATGGGTAATTGTTTGTATTCATGGTTGACATCTTTAATTTCATGGTGATACTTATATCTTTCACTTTTATACGGAGTAGGTCTGCAAGTCTCTAACATGTTTGCACCTTTTAATTTGGTTAGTTCATTCACTAATTCAGTATTGGGTCTGAGGGGGAAATCCTGTCCACAAAGGTTGATAATGTACTTCCACTTAACCTCTGACTTCAAAAGGTCTGACATACAATGCAAATCTGCCTTTAATCTGGTAATGCTGGCATAGACCACATATTCTCTTTTTGAAGCAATCATAACATTTGGCAAACACCGGGCCAAGCTTTCCATTGCTGAACGGAACTTATCTGAAGACTTCTCATCGTAGTGAATACAGAAAATATTGTTAGGAGAATATAATGCTTTGATAAGTCTCTCCACCATCCAGGCATATTTGTGGACAACTAATGAATACGCCAATGGGAAGGTTTTCTCCTCCTGTGACAAGCATACATCGTTATAGCCTCTAGACTTGAGGAAAACATTGCAATTCGATGTGAGATTGACCAGGCCATCATCCGATTCCTCCACAATGTGTTTCCTTAATGTTAAAGCTCTCCACACTTCCATGGGGTCCATGTCGTATATTGCAGAGCAGTCCACATTGAATCGGTGAAAAGTCTGGAGGTCCAGGGGAGCGGGAGTGGTGGTGAAGTGATCCATATTACTGTTCCTCAAGATCACCATCAGCACGAGGCTCAGGGCCAAGGCTGCCAACAGCCATGACAGGGCGCCCCTCCACACTCTGATCTTATACATACAAAGACAAATAACATTCAAAGTCACACTCTCTCAGACATAAAAGTATAAAGTGAAAAATAATAACATGTGAAGTGTCGACTACTCTGTGAAAAAAAAAAAAAAGAAAAGAAAAGAAAACAGAAAAGTGTAACTTACTCTATTAATGAAGTAGATTTCCATGTAGTTAGTCTGAGTTTGGGCCAAATTATCAATGAGTGCATGAAAAGATGCTCGATGACTCAATGTTGACTTGCTACTGTCTGTAGGTTAATGTCTTAAGTAATGTTATCTGAAAATGATTATAGACTCCCAGAAAGAGGCGGGCAGGTTACACCTTCTCTGTCCAACTATTGGCTATTTTATCTCCTTGCACTTTTTGTGATGCTTTTAATTTAGGAGGGACTTATATAAAGGATGGGTCAAATGCAGAGGACAAATTTCTCTGTGAAGATAATATGAAGACAAGGCAAAACAAATGAGAAAACTAAAGAATATCTGAAAGAAAGGTGCAAGTAACACAAATTCAAATCAAGTAATCTATGGTCAAAATAAAACTTGTGGCTTGATTTACTTACAAAAAGAGAAATCTACCAAAACCTTAACTCAAGAGCACTGGTAAATATTTACCAAAGGTAGCTACTGTTCCATCAAACAAAGTAATAACAAGAAGAAACTTGTTAAGCACGTTCAAGTACTTCAACCACACAGAGCAACCTTTACTTCTGTAGCCTACTTTTAGTAGTAAGAGCTTAAATTTGTGCACCTGCTGCTGTTGTGGACACTGGATTTGGCTCTTTTCGGGCTGAAGTGAGCACTGAAGAGACACTGAGCGTCCTGGGACCACTGAAGCTGAGGATGGACTGAACACAGCTCTGTGAGTCTGCTCCATCTGTGCTAAAGACAAGAGCACACAATGTCAGCAGCTGCTCTGTTCTATTCACTTAGTATTCTCATACTTTACCATTAACAACCAAGAAGGTGGCGCTCATGAAGCTCAAAATAATTTCACCGCTTATTTGACAATAGTACGGTAGATTGCTTGATCCTCTTTTCTGATATTTCTGATTTCAAAAACATGTTTTTTATCCACTGCGGCAAAGGTAAAATGATTTTGATCTTTAAAGGAAACACAAACATTTTTTTGATCAAAGTATACAGTTGAAATTTGTTGCATTGTATGCCCTGGAGTTTGCATGAACATGTAACAGTGACAGTGTCTCCAGGTTGGACCACTGTCAGGTATTTGGTCCTTTGACCTATAAAAAACACACTCATAAATCATCATGTATTTCATATATTCTGTCAGTGTAGTTTTACTTACACAAGGTGCTCAGGAAGATGAAGGCAGTTAGTGGTCCAGTCATGTTTCTTCTGATGTTCCAGACAGACTTACATGAGTATCTGAAGTGTCCTCACCTTAAAGCGAGCTTTGAAAAGCGGAAATTGTAGCGATTGGCTGAAATACAAATTTACCACATCCTAAGCATAATGAAGGTCTGTAAGGTGGGTATGTAGGTCTCCATAGGACTTAAAGTTACAGATTTTTATGATTCTCTAATTATTTTGGGGATTATACCTGTTTTAACTATAAATTATAGTTCTGCAGAAATCAAGGAGCAATGACAGGTTGACAAATATGTTGAAAATTACATGAAGTAGAGAGTTCTAAAATATATTGATGGCATCATACTAGGCAGAATTTTATCCAAAAGACACCATTTATATACAAGAAACACATTTCTTCTGATTTATTACTGATACATTATTTCAAGTTTTTTTTCATATTTTCATTTGTCAAATAATAATATCTATGTAGATTAGAGGAGTTATATATAAGAGGACTAAGGGAGTGTGACGTTACCACACAGCATCGGGCTCCAGTCGAATTAAGACATTTCAGGCTAGCAGTTTACTCATTTGGAGCCAAGATCCATAGTTGGAAATCTGAGCATGTGTATCATAGCAACCATATTGCCAGAGTCAGACCATTTCTCTCTCAAGCCAGTACAGAGACTTTAATACATGCTTTTATCACAAACCGTGTTGATTACTGCAATGCTCTCCTTTCTGGTCTTCCAAAGAAATCTACAGCTCCATTGCAGCTCCTTCAAAACTCTGCAGCACGACTGCTGACAAGGACCAGGAAGAGAGAGCATATCACCCCAGTACTGAAGTCTGTGCACTGGCTTCCTGTGAGCTTCAGGATAGATTTTAAAGTTATTTTATTAGTTTATAAAGCTCTTAATGGTCTTAGTCCTATTTATTTATCTGATCTGCTTTTATCATATGAACCCTCTCGCACTCTCAGATCCTCAGGTAGTTTTCTTTTAACTGTCCCAAGAGTCCAAACTAAAACTCACGGTGAGGCGTCATTCAGCTTTTACGGCCCTCATTTGTGGAACAGTCGACCTGAGGATCTGAGGTCCGCTGCGAGTGTTCATATTTTTAAAAGTAAACTCAAAACGTATCTTTTTAATTTAGCTTTTAATTGAAACTTGTATCTGTTTTAACTTAAATTATTATTATTATTATTATTATTATTAGTATTAGTATTAGTATTAGTATTATCAATAGTATTACTATTACTATTATTATATTTATTCTAAATTAAAACATCATTACTGTTTTACTTTGTCTCCATTTGATTTTAGCTCTCCATTTTGATTTTTATTATAACCTTTAGGAGCTTTATGTTTTTGTTTTATGTTTATGTTTAAATTGTTGTATATATGGATGAAACAATGGGGTGGGGTGTGGGGTTGCTGTAGTTTTTAATTATTGTATTGTAATTTTTCTGTTGCATGTGAAGCACTTTGTGCTACATTTCAAATGTATGAAAAGTGCTATACAAATAAAGTTTGATTGATTGACTGAAAGAGTCATCTGTGAGTGAAACTGTTTAAGGTACATACATTTTCCATAGAAAGTTGCCCAATCTCGCCCATCCAGTATGGAACTTGGTGGCTTGTGGGTAAGCTATGTCCAGTCATATTGATATTTTGCAGTGACATTGTGCTGGGGGTGTTCTACATGTATCCCTGTGGTGGCACAATGTACACATTATAAAAAACACTGTCAAAAAAGTATAAAAACACAGAGGAAGTGAGAGCTTCAGGGTATATTTTTTTCAAAGTCCACAACAGGTCGAAGCTCAGACAGTGAAGATCACCAAACTTGTAGTGTAAAAACTTACTGTGATGAAGCGAACTCATGCGATTAATCGCGATAACATTTTTTTATTTTTGCCCAGCCCTACAAAATACATTTAAACAACTAATTTTCAGGAGATTGTGATACGTTTGAGCATTCATGGTCCTGAGACACGAACTGACAAATTGTAGGATAATGCTAGCTAGCTTGTGACTTCAGTTATATGTGTGAGAGACTGCTTTAATAGTACAAATCAGATCACCTTGTGTAGTTCCAGCTAAGTCAAGTCTATGTCCTGGAGTTTGCTTGTACCAGTTAACATGTTTATAGTAAATAGAAGAACATGTAAATGTGACAGTGTCTCCAGGTTGGACCAGTGTCAAAGGTATTTGGTCCTCTGCACTTTGACCTGGAAAAAAAAAAAAAAAAACCTTGTCCAGAAATGTATCACCAACATTTAATAGTTAGTGTAGTTTTACTTACAGAAGGTGCTGAGGAGGATGAAGGTGATGAGTGGCCCTACCACGATTTCTTCTGATGTTCCAGACAGACTTACATGAGTATTTGATGTCTCCTCATCTTAAAGCAAGTTTTGAAAAGCGGAAATAAATGTGACTGGCTGAAACACACATTTACCACACCCACAGGCGCACTGTGTCAATTTTCTGGTGGATGGTCTGTCACCTTCTTGTCTCTATGGAGATGTTCTTGTTTTGCCCAAAAATGTTTCACAGACAAGAGTAGATGTAAATATAGCATAATAGTAACATGTATTAACATGAAGAATCTTCCAGGATAAAATAAATTTAGTCTGGAAGATTTTTTCAATCTTTCAACCTCAATGGAGACCAGCAGGTGGCACCACAATTAGGTATTTTTGATCAAATGAATAAATGTACAATAGATAAGTTAAATGCTATAAAGAGGAAGATTCCAGGCTAAAACATGACAGCAGGAGATAAGCTGGTGGTGGATCTTCCACCAGAAAAGTTACGCAAGTCTTGTTTCCAAAGTGAACTGACTTCATCACAGACTATTGATGCAGAATTATGCAAACAAATGTGAATGAAACAAAGCACATAAAAAGAAGAGTGGAGTTAATAACATTCTAACATGGCTTAAAGCTCACGTGTCCATTTCATGTGATGATTGATTATTATTACCTGAGGTACAATTATATTTTGCTTTGTGCATAAATTATGAGGTGTATTTGATGTGCGATATGTGTGTACATATATGATGGACTGTGAGTCCTCAATTAATGATAATAATATATAATAGGGCAGTATAATTTCTATGTACACAGCACTGGTACAACTCGACATGTCTGTTTTCAAACAATACAACTGCTTAATGTAATTTTAAAGGTGTGCAGTTTCTTACTTTTACTGGTACTGTAGTTGATATTTTTTATTGAATTTTATTGAATGTCAGCACATTTTAGTAAAAAAGTAAAAAAGAGTATTTATAGGTGACCACTTTTTGAGCCATGTTACAATGGTGTTCATCATCATACACTTACTCAGAGTTTTGATTGATTCCTGCATATTTTTTGTAAAGGTACTTTTTATTGTCACTGTAGGGAAATTTGACCCATTTGGTTCAATGCTCAGAAAAAAACAGTTTTCACCTACACCCATCCAGGCCCACAGTATACATGTAGGGTTAAAAATGGCATGTCGTCATGTAGTTTCATCAATAGAAATGGGGCATATCAGTTTTAGAGTTTTGAAAAGGAAGTCAATAGATCTTTTTTATTAGTGAACCATTTAAGATCAATATTGAGGTTTATAATGAACAAAATCTAAAATAATTGATCTGTGTATTGTATAGTTTAATATTAAATACCACAAAAGCATCATATGTCTTGTTTAAATATATTATATTGTGTCTCAGATGATAAAAATTGTCCAGAGTTTATGAACAATCAGCAAGAGACTGAAGTAACTTTTGTCTTTTCTGTAGATTCTCCTCAAGGCACTGAATGATAACAGCGTCTATTTTGGAGTCAAATTTATTAGCAAACCAGTGACCGTTGTCAAGTAGCCAGCGCATTTCTGCCACACCATAGATGCAAACACCCCGTATGTGCACACCAGTGCAGCGTGGGTACAAATGGCCCTCCATGTAGGACCACTTGACCAGCCTCGTCTTACTCATTTTAGCAGTGACATCTGGGTGTGACCGGGGAACCTCTCCTGGTACACCAGGCAAACGTGCAAGGGTTGCCCAGAAATGTTCATCGGGGGAGTAGGTATCTTCACACCAAGCCAGAAAATCTTTGACCACATCAGAGGATTGCATATACTCCACAAATTCCCTTGACAGGACAAAGTAAGCACTGCCGGTAAACATTTCAATCCCATGAGGTGGTGACTTCTTCTCCCTATTTGTTTTGATGAGCATTTTTTTGTATTCATGGTTGACATCTTTAATTTCATGGTGATACTTATATCTTTCACTTTTATACGGAGTAGGTCTGCAAGTCTCTAACATGTTTGCACCTTTTAATTTGGTTAGTTCATTCACTAATTCAGTATTGGGTCTGAGGGGGAAATCCTGTCCACAAAGGTTGATAATGTACTTCCACTTAACCTCTGACTTCAAAAGGTCTGACATGCAATGCAAATCTGCCTTTAATCTGGTAATGCTGGCATAGACCACATATTCTCTTTTTGAAGCAATCATAACATTTGGCAAACACCGGGCCAAGCTTTCCATTGCTGAACGGAACTTATCTGAAGACTTCTCATCGTAGTGAATACAGAAAATATTGTTAGGAGAATATAATGCTTTGATAAGTCTCTCCACCATCCAGGCATATTTGTGGACAACTAATGAATACGCCAATGGGAAGGTTTTCTCCTCCTGTGACAAGCATACATCGTTATAGCCTCTAGACTTGAGGAAAACATTGCAATTCGATGTGAGATTGACCAGGCCATCATCCGATTCCTCCACAATGTGTTTCCTTAATGTTAAAGCTCTCCACACTTCCATGGGGTCCATGTCGTATATTGCAGAGCAGTCCACATTGAATCGGTGAAAAGTCTGGAGGTCCAGGGGAGCGGGAGTGGTGGTGAAGTGATCCATATTACTGTTCCTCAAGATCACCATCAGCACGAGGCTCAGGGCCAAGGCTGCCAACAGCCATGACAGGGCGCCCCTCCACACTCTGATCTTATACATACAAAGACAAATAACATTCAAAGTCACACTCTCAGACATAAAAGTATAAAGTGAAAAATAATAACATGTGAAGTGTCGACTACTCTGTGAAAAAAAAAAAAAAAAAAAAAACAGAAAAGTGTAACTTACTCTATTAATGAAGTAGATTTCCATGTAGTTAGTCTGAGTTCAGGCCAAATTATCAATGAGTGCATGAAAAGATGCTCGATGACTCAATGTTGACTTGCTACTGTCTGTAGGTTAATGTCTTAAGTAATGTTACTGAAAATGCTTATAGACTCCCAGAAAGAGGCGGGCAGGTTACACCTTCTCTGTCCAACTATTGGCTATTTTATCTCCTTGCACTTTTTGTGATGCTTTTATTTTAGGAGGGACTTATATTCCAAAGACAAAACATCCAGAGCAGTTATTTATCAAGTATAGGCCTTCACTAGCCTTGACTTACTAAAGTTGTCATGGATATAGTAGCTAAAACAGCATGATGACTGAGTGGCTAGCACTAGCATGTTTCACAGCAAGAAGGTTCCAGGTTCAATCCCTGGGCATTTCAGTGTGGAGTTTGCATGTTTAGGTTGGGTTTCCTCTGGGTACTTCGGTTTCCCCCATCAACCCAAAACATGCACCAGTGGTAATATCCTCCAACTAATGTAGTCCTGACCAAGCAAGATCACAGAGATTAGTTCCCAGTCGCACCATATGCTGCCCATTGCTCCTGAGATGCCCCAGCACCATTAAAGGATGGGTTAAATGCAGATGTCTAATTTCTCTATGAGGAAAATAAAGTATCTTCTTCTAAAATGCACTTTAAAGAGTAATCCAACTATCATATTAGAAGTAGCCTCGGATACAAAGTAATAGTCCAAGAAATTACTCAAGATAAAACAAATGAGAAAACTAAAGAATATCTGAAAGAAATGAGTAAGTAACACAAATTCAAATCAAGTAATCTATGGTCAAAATAAAACTTGTGGCTTGACTTACTTACAGAACGAGAAATTTACCAAAACCTTTACTCAAGAGCACTGGTAAATATTTACCAAAGGTATACTGTTCCATCAAAAAAGTAATACCAAGAAAAAACATGTTAAGCTGTTTCAAGTACTTTAACTGCACAGAGCAACCTTTACTTCTATTGTTTGTCGATTTGTAGCCTACATTTACTCAAGTAAAAATGTATGATAGCTTAATTTTGCCCACCAGTGATAATGTTCTGAAGAAGTCATATGAAATGACTTGTCTTGAACTTGATGTGCCTGTAATTTGACATTTTGGATTTGGCCATGTTCTGTTATTTAATCTTGTGTAACCTACATTGCCTTTTCACTAACTTTCACTAATGTGATTAAATACGATTGTGGCCTTGGCCTAAAACTGCATTACAAACATTCTGAGTACAATATAACTAATGTTCTTCTGCCACTGAGTAGAAGAGGAGAAATGAAAACCTAGTGGCTCACATCACATGAAACCAAACAGGAGGTTTTGTGTGTATTTTGAGGTCCACAGTTTATGCTTCTAAAGAAAGACCAAATTAGATCTGAACTGAGTTAAAATAAATACCAGTTTTTACGATAGAAAAGAGTGAAGTCATAGTATTGTCTTAGCTCGTCCAAACAGAAAGTGACTTTTTTTTTTTTACA